AAATATTTACTATTCGCGTGTACTTTTACTACTACTACTATTGCCACGTACATTGTATGTTGGTGCCTGATTATGATGGAGAGAATCTTTATGAAATTTTATAAAAATGTATTTATAACGAAATTATGTACAATATGGAAACGAAAGACTTACATGTACTTGTTTACCTGTACGTACAGGTCGGGTCGAAGAAAAAATGAATAATAATAATAATAATAATCCATCCATCAAGTCGCTCTTCATAAGCAATAAGGGGCGATATAAAAGCAAGGATAAAGAATGAAATGAGTTATAAAAAGTAATCATCGATGATATACAGGGGATGAAAATTTATGCCAAGTTAATCAATGCCTGAATTATTTTTATTGTATCTAAGGGCAATATTTTTGTTATATTAGAGAGCGCTTTAATGAAATTATTTACCATACATTGTGAAATGAAAAACTGATCTCCATACGTTTTCTCTTTCTTTTTTGAATTGGTACGAACAACATATTTTGGTGACTAAGGTTTGTTGAACTAATCGTCGAACAGTTTTCGCTATCAAATCATCATCAAATCATCATTTCAAAATTCTTAACTAAAAAACAAGACTAACTGTAAAGATTCTTTTAGCACTTGCATGTCATATTCTTAAGGCATTCTATAATGTCTCACAAAACCGTATGCTACTTGTCTTAAAACTTCAGTCTTCTGCTTTGCCTTATTCAGATCATTTAAAGTTCTTTTCATCTTCGGCAGATGTCCCCCAAGATCGTCACTTGGGACTCATGTTATCAATGACTTCCTCATCGATGATTAAATCAACCTACATTCCAATGTGCATTGATCATGCTAAACTATACTCTTTCTTTCTGGGTTATGTCATTACATATAAAAAAATGTAAAAAGTTGCTGTTGATGCATTTTGCAGATTATGCAGTGATAAAGTTGATAGAGTTTTACTCTTATCTGGCTAATGGGTAAGAGAACGAAATTTTTTCCCAAAAACCGTAACTATATCTTATGTTCCGCTGGTTTAATTGCTGTAGGCAACACAAAATAGCAGACTCTCTACTACTTCGTCTACATGATGTAACCAATTTGCAAATCTAAGAACTCTGCTGACAGAGGTTTAGTAAGACTCGAAAATGTAATTATGAAATCCGTTCACATAGCGTTCCGGCAGGAGCAGAAGAGACTTCGGCAGCGTGTTCGTACACGCAGAGTTTTGAATGATCCTCTCCTTCCAATAAAATTGAGTCCTTCTAACCTATATGTATAGTTTTCCGAACCTAAATGCAACTTTTTTGGCAATAGGAAAGTGGATAAAGTAGTTCTGCCCTGAGAGCAAAAAAAAAATTATTCTCACTCCACAATTGATATTTACTTATATCAAAAAAAAAAAAAAAGTAAAACAAAAAAATGTGCCCATCCTTTATATGTTAGATCTTTTTTCCGCATGGTTTCGTAGATAATTAAATTCTCTAAATTGCTGCAATAAAACATATTTAAATAATAATGCAAGTGTGCGGAAAAAAAGAAATATTTTTTCATCAGTTCATATTACGAATTCCATTGAAAAATATTTATTGCAAAGAAATTCGCACATTAATTAACCGAAAACATTGCATAATTCTTTTATTTGAACAAAAATTCAATGATTTAGTGTTTGTTTGTTTTTTTTTTTTTTTTTTTTTTTTT